ATTCCTGCTCTTGCAGATGCTGCTATACCTCCTGCTTTTAGCATGCCTGTGCCAGGCTGGCCTTCCTTCAGGCTGAGGAGGGCTGACTCTGGCATTTACCTCGGAGCGCACCAAGAGCTGCAATGGAAGAATCATCTGAAATGCCCTAAAAAGTCTCTTCTTTAAGCAAAACTGTGGTACTGGAGGTTCAGGAGAGTACCAGCTCCCCTGGGAACACGTATGTGCTTGTCTCTCCATGGATGCAGACCTACATGATGATGTTCATGTTCGTCTGTCTGTAGGAACCCCTCATTCAGGAGCTCAACACTTTGTGCAGTGTTGAAATGATTTATACTTAGTATGTCCACTTGTAACTCCAGCAGCCTGCCTGAAGTGCACATGGCTGTTGTGAGCATCCAAATATGTGCTTCTGGGGCTGAGGCTGCCGCTCTGCAGGGCAGGGCCGTGCCCTGTGACTCCAGCTGCAATGTGCTGGAGCAACAGTGTCTCTGAAGTGTGTATTAAATGGAAAGCTGTGATTCCCAGGACACGTGTAAATCATGGGAACTGCAATAGTGACATCCTGAGCTCTGTTCACAATTAGCTCTTCTGCCTTTTCAGACCAGATGGATGAGTAAGATACCGTCTCAAAACACAAATCCTGCAAGAAACTTGACTCTTCTGAAGTCAGGACAAGGTCTGTTATCTACATTCTGTGGCTGCAGTATATTATGCTAATGGCCATAATAAACATACAAGTGCCTTTTTTGTCTTAGTTCTGGAATCAGACACACATAGAAAATGGGAAAACGATGGAACTGAGATTACCCACTGAAAACTGTGCACAGTCATAGTCAGTCACTGATACTGTTTTATCCATCAGTGGCCTTGCTAATGTTATTTTTATACACTGAGAGCTCTAGTTCAAATCTCACTATGATGAAGTATTGCCAGTGCCAAAAGAGAATCCAGACTGATTGGAGGGGTATTTTTTGAGGCATTTGTACTGCTGGACAGATGCTCCCTTTGCAGTGTGTGTCTGAGGCAGGAGGGACATCCAGTGGCCAGGGATGTCCTGCAGCCACTCACTGAGCACTCCCTTGGCAGCCACTGCCTGCCTGTGTGGGCAGGGACTGCTCTGCTGGCAGCAGCTCAGGGCTCCCCCGTAGAAGCAGCTGTCAGTGTGTTTGCATGTGGGTATGACTCTGCCCCTCAACACCACTTGCCTGAGAATTTAGAAACAGTGTAGTAAGGTCTAAGCATTGCTGACATTGTGCCTGTTTCCCCATTTGCAAGGGTGGCAATAGTAAGGAGCCCCCAGCAGTGGTCAGACTGACCGAGGCTGATGCTGTCTGCCTCTGGAGATCCAGCCCAAAGCCATTTGCCTGGACTCAAGCATAAATTCTGTGCTTTGATAAAGCCATGCTTTGTGTCAGCACCAAAAGAGCTACAGTGTATAGTTCAGCACTCTAAAGAGAGCTTTGGGATCTTCTGAACAAGAGGCATCATGGACATGTTTCTAAAAAGACGGTGAAGATAAGTCAGCCTGAACTCCTGGACAGTCCCTTTTACTCCTGTTAGACTTGAACAAGAGACAACAACATGGACATGTTTCTAATAAGGGGTGAAGTTGTTAATAGTCAGCCTAAACTCCTGTACAGTCCCTTTTACTCCTGTTACACTGCAGAATTAAGTCTGAGGGTTTATATTGCACATTTCACTTACCGTCAAAGGCCAGTAGAGTCCTTTAAACTTCTCATTAAGTTTGGAGGCGTAGGCAAAAAAAAGAAACAGTGCCAGCAGAAACTCTAGGAGTGGTGCCATCATGAAAGAAGCTGCTAGAGATGCAATATAGCAGATAAAGATGATAAATGACAGCACCTAGAGTAAAGGGAAAAGTGGTGTTTATTCGCATGGAATAGCAGAGCCGCAGGCAGCCAAGCAGCTTTGAAGTGTTATTTTCCCTGTGTATCTCTGTCAGTGCTGCTGGTGATGGCATAGCTTGCTTCCTACATTTTTTTTTTCCTTAGGCCAAATGAGTTTTCTTGTTTAGCATGGAATAAATCTGAAGTAATGGTGTATATCTGAATGTGTGTGAAATCGCTTTTCCGGAGCGCTGGGTGGATTTGCACCTCTCGGAGTTGGTGATTTGCTCTGGATTGTAAACAGCTCTGACAACATAATTTGGAAAATGGAGTGGGGCACAGCCAAGCAAGCAGGCCTTGAAGCTTTCAGCCGTGACAGTTCTCATTTGAAACCCAAATCATTGCTCAGACAGCCCAAAGTAACACAGTGTTTATAATCCTCTTAGAGTTAGAAGAAAAAAACTCTGCTGATGACGGATAGAAAAGGGCCAAGAATTAATTGTTCTGTGATTTCTGGAAGTATCTTCTTTTAGTTTTCCAGTGTAAACAGCTGTTTTAGAGAGTAATAGGACAGATAACTCCCATAGATTTGTCTTATCTCCATGATGTTTCCTAACTCTAAAAAACAATAAAAATGGCATTTGTTTTCCCATCCTATTAAAATACCTTTGGAATATAGTTTATGGCTCTAAAATCGAAAGTTTCACAATGGGAAAATGGCTCAAGAAAATGAGTGCTGTGCTACACTCGTGGACTTTCAGCTGCAGAGCTTGTGAAAGTGGGAGGGGAGGGAACAACCAACAAACTTAATAACATATTCAAACCATGTGCTGGGAGTTGGTCACCTCCAAGAAGAGGCTCAAGCTCTGTAACCTTGCAGGGAAACTGGTTGTTGTTTTCATGTTGGTTCATCAGCTTAAAGTAACAAGAGCAGCTATGATACTGAAAAGCACATTTCGTGCCAGTATTACGTGCCAGTTTGCACCTTGACTGCTCTATCCAGCCTTGGAGAGAAACCTCTGCCTTCCCAATGCCCAGAGATGCTTCTGGCCAGCATGGCAGTGAGTACTGTTTGAGCATTAGATTACAAGGATCTTTTGAACCTTTAAACTCTAAATTGGGACACTGACATTCCCACTCGTACAGGACTGAAAATAAATGTATTATTTCCCCCAGGTGGCAAATCTGAAAGCAGATGTGGCTTCTGAAAAGCTGATCAATGCATTTGCCTTGGTAAATCTCAGCTCCATGGATTTCTTTGCTTGCTGCGAACACGTGCTCCTTGGGACCATGTGCACCTCAAAAAAAAACATTGTTACACTTGAATGATAAGGCTCCTATAATTAATTATTGATTATTATGCCTATGAGAGGTCAGTCAACCCTCAAACACGTGCATCAAAACAGCCTGTCTAGGTTTAGGGGGAAACTGAATAGTTCAACCCTGCTGCAGTAATTTCTTGACTGAATTAATTAACAAGCCTTGACTCTAAGCCTGTTTTTGGGGAGAAGGCTGTCAGTTCTTGACCAGGATGCTAATAGCTGCAGTATATTGTTTGCATCCATCAGGACTGGGTGGTGAAGTTAGAGAGGATGTGACATTTTTAGTCAGAGACTATATTTATCTTAAAAGGCCTATGCATTGTTCCTGTTTCCCTGGGTTCTCAGAAACTGACCTGGTATAATACAGAGTTCATTTTGGCCTCCAGGCCTGTTACCTGTTAATACTTACCCGATTTGTTGCTACTTATCCTATTATTATTTGCTTATTTGCAGGTTTTTCTAGAGGTTCATATAGTGGAGGGAACTCATTCACTGTACCTCATCCTTAGCATGGTACTTTCTTTCTGTGAGTGGAAACTGGTAAGTACTCTTCAATTTGAAGAGAAGTGGATATAACAGAGCTTGAAAACTACTGAAAGGAGAGAGGACTTCTTCCTTCCTGTCACACCCACCACCTTCCCAGCCCCAACAACAAAGACCTTCTTTGTGAATCTGCTTCAGTGGCACTTCTGAAACACAGTTTAGATATGGTTTCATGTCTTCTTGGATTAAAATGAAATCACCATGTATCTAGGACATTTCATTCTTGTTCTGGTGTTGAAAGAAAGTATTCCTTATTCTGGCTGAAGGAAAGGCTGAGATGGCTCAGCTACAGGGAGGAGATGTGTTCAGAATAGGTCCCACCAACCCAAACCCTTTCAACAGCAGAACATTAGACCTCAATCTGCTACAGCTCTTATGAAAGGATTAAATGCAGTGTTAAATAACACCAACTACTACAGCAGCGAGGGGACATGGAGAGGCAAATTTCAGGTATGTAAGTTGATGATGCACAGTAGAGATCCTTTTGATCTTGATTCTGGTACAGTACATCCTGTGCTCTGTCTGCCTTTGCACAGAGAAAAAGTTTTCCTGTCAGAAGCATTAAGTGTTAGGTGAAAGGAAGAGCCTTTGTGTTCTCTTGTCAACTTTATGGTTACCAGACCAGTTATTTGTTCAAACCAACCCCTCTGTTACTGGTAGATCACAGCAGTCTCCTGCTGCCTGTTCCTCAGCCCTGCAGGATAGCAACTGTATTCTCATCATCACCACCCTCACTGGTGCCCATTCCCCACTCCTGACTCCACTTGTCAACATCCTGTTGTGCAGGGGAAGTGCATGACAAGGCACATTAAGAAAAAGACACCCTTGAATTGCAAGGCATTCCTTGATTTCAACAGGTTATTGATCATATTAGTAAAGGGGAAAGAATATCACCTGAAGAATGATAACTGCTCTCCATTTAAATATCATTCCTCATTTTGGAGGCACTTGGAGACTGAAAAGGCCCAAGGAAGATTTTATGTGGAATATCCACCTATAAAATAGTGGACCAGATTTTGAGAATGAAGGTTTATAAGACTGTACTTTCAGATGCTACAGCCTTCACTGGGGGAAGGCTGGAAGGCATGGAAAGGGCAGGGAGGCAGACACTGGAAACAGCAAGAGAGAAAAGGGAAGGAGGTGCCTGAAGGCTGCCAGCTGATGGCTATGGTGCTAACACTTTGTTCTTTGGCTTTCTTGGTTTTTGCCTCCTGTCACAGGCCTGACATGGATTTTGATGCCAAACCTAATTGGTGGTTTGGTGACAGCCCTGTGTAATAAAACAGCCCACAAATTGCAGGGTTTTGATGGTGTTTCTCATTTCTCTTTGTGCAGAGCTCATTTCCCCTTCTGACAAGTGGAGTGCACAGGCTCCTTAAGCAATACTGGACATTGTCTGTTACTGTCTTTTCTGATTTATAAAAGTGAGTAGGTATCTTGTTATCTTGTCTGACCACTTGATTGCACTGCCACTAACTTGAGCATTTGATAATATCTTAAAATTTGGGAATTTTAAAAGTACACCTCACCCCCACAACACAAACACTGACGTGCCAGCCTGTACCCAGAAATAATGGCACCTACTTACTTACTTTTCTTACTATTACTTTACTACTCTTACTTTTCTCAAAGACTTCAAGTCTTTGAGACAAACATCTGGCAAACTGAAAGTTGCTCTAAAACCTCAAAACTAACCTTCAGAATACAGCCTGACCCCTCTAAAGACTGTCAAATGACCCACTGCACATCACACTTGTTCTGCATCCTTTCCTGAGTCTGTGTGTTGAAGAGTCATTTGAGAGAAAGGTCAAGCAATGAGACCTCGTTTTTCTAACAGCTCTGTTTCTATGCTGAAAAAAGGGAAGAAAGAGAAAGTTTGTGAGGCTCAATGCAGTTGCAAGCTCATTTCTAGCACTTTCAGAAAGCACTGCTGCTTCTGGGAGAAAATAAACGTAATGTTTTACCAGTTTTGTCCATTTGTATTTACACAGGGTTTTTTCTTCCCCCCTGCTTTGGATTACATCCTCAGCACTGATAGCAGCTTGGAGTCTGAGTTGTTCCTGTGCTGCTGCTGGAAGATTAGTGTGACTGTTGCCAGCTTCACTGTGGAGGAATATTTGGATGCAGAAAGCCCTGGTGCAGCAAAGAGCAGGACAGGATCCTTGGCAGCGGTAAGACTATAAAGAGTATAAAAAATCCTGGCAAAAAAAGAAGCCTGACTTTTCATTGAGCACCTTTTATGTACATTCCCCACCAAATTTTGAGCACCTTTTATGTACATTCCCCACAAAAAAAAAGACAAAAGAACTATTACACAGTACTTTTTCTTTTCTAAAGAAACTTCTTTGGTGCTGTGTTTCAGAAAGTCATTTTTTCCCATGTAAATATTACTTAATACTCTGTTGCTGGGCTGCTTACACTGGCCAGGCATTATGAAGTTATAACTCATCATATAACCAGTTTGCAATTGAAGGGCTAAAAAATAACCAGTTACAATAGTGAGAGAGCACAGTGTCCCTGAAGGGAGGGAGGACTGCTGCAGTGCTGAGCTCATGGCAGATTACGAGGGTGTTTGTCTCTGTGCAGGGAGAACAGACCCACTGCAGCCCATCGGGGACATGTGTGTGTCAGGAAGGAGCTGACATCACTGCACGCTGCTCTGCTCGGTCACAGCTCCTCAGCTCCTGCTCCTCATCAACCCTCCACAGACACAAACACATTTCCTTAAGGTTTTAGAAGTGGGAGGCAGTGATATCTTTTGGACAAGAGTGCATTTTGTTCCTGTGAGACAGTAAACTGAAAGCAGGTCACTTAGCGGTCTCTGCTATTCAATTACTACTTCTCTGTCGTACCCGTCGTGAAGTTCCTGGTTCCCCCAGAATTAGCTGCAAGGATGGTGGTTGGGCTACAGACCCTGAGAAAGGCACAGGAGTCTTCAGAGGAGACTTTACACCGAGCAGCTGGAAGTCTCAGTTAGGAAGGGCAGTTCAGAGAAGACTGAAAAGACAGAAGAAAGACAGGAAAAGAGGAGAGAAACAGGCACAATGATTTCTACATCCGTTATGTCACCACAAAGGTGACACAATCTTACATATTCATACTGCATTTTTATATGAAACATAAATTGTAGTGCCTCTGCAAACTGGCTTCA